GTTTTTTCGTATTCTGCCCAGTTGGCTTTCTTAAAGTTCCATCGAGTTCTCCGAGGGTGGTTCAGTGCAGGTGGGGAGGTGATCTGTATAAAGATAGGCCTGTGATCACTTCCTATGTCATCAATCACTTCGATGCGACAGGAGTTTTTAATTTCGGATGAGCAGATGGTGAGATCAGGCCGGCTGAGAGTCAAGTGGGCTCTGTGAAGTAAGGTAGGTGTTGAGTTGACATCTTGTAATACAGATAGGTTGCTGGCTTCGCACAGCTCCTCAATCTTTCGGCCTGTGCAGTTATAGTTGACGTAGCTCCATTCTGGAGAGTGGCCATTGAAGTCACCCGCACAAATGGTTTTTTCGTAGCTGGCTGCTTGCAGATCAGACAAGTCGCATGTTCTCTGTGGGGGGCTGTAAACATTGTAAAGTGTGTACTTCCTACCAATGTGCCATATGGTGGCCTTCTGGATATCTGTCGGTTGGGCAGATGATAAGTGTACGACATCTCCCTGAACATCGTTTCGCAGGTAAGTGACTACACCGCGGCATCCTGTGCATGTGTGTGCAGGCGTAACTGGTGTATCCTGTGAGGTTCAGGTCCGTACCTTTGTGTAGGGTTTCTTGAAGGAGGGCAACATGAATCTGCCTGTCCTTCAGTACTTTGAGGAGTTCTGTTTTCTTGTTCCTCAAACCACAGATGTTGAGTTGCAAGAGGTTGAGGGAACTCTTCTTTTGGTTGGGGGTGTAACTGGCTCCCTTCTCAAGCCGAGAGCTTTTTGGTGCTGGTTTAGCTCTGTTTCTGTGTGTATCACCAGTAGCTCACTTGTCGCTCAGAGCAGCCTGGTGATTGCGCTGCCTGGCACGGACCTTGTTTAACGAGGCGACGTCCGAGCTCGCATGTAATTTATTTCTTTGTGTCATGGCATTGTGGACTGGGGTGTCTGTGGACTGTCTTCCCACCCTGAGAAGGGGCCATTCATGTTGAGGATAGGAGGGTACTAGGAGTTTTCATGAGACTGGAAAGACCTAACTGCCCTGTGACCGTGTAATTCCGGTAGGGTTCACGTTGCCCATTCCCCGCCACCAATGGCTACTGGCTAAAGTTTTCTATTCTTTCATGAGGTATTGGCCAAGTGGGAGAGCCATTGGATCGTCACGTCCTGGGTCGTTGTGCCTTTACTAAGAGGTTTCACGGCCAGAAAGCAAGTCAGGCATTCCGCTCGGTCCATCCCCTGCACCCAGACACTCTCAAACTGGCTGGTACCTTCTCAACCACAGAGGGTGTGTTGATAAAAGTAGTAGAGGTGTTAGGCAAATTAGACACCCACTCAAGGGAGAGTAGGGGTGTGTTAGTGAGGAGCATAGCGTCTACCACGCATCGGTGGGTTCTGCCTCCTGCATCTGGTGGGGCCACACCTGCTCCCATCCTGTTGTTTTAACCCCTCTAGGAAACGGGGGGGTTGGTTTGTTGGCGCCAACAACTCGCCATTCGCCAGAGCCGTGTCAGTGGAAACAGGGACCACCACGGGCAGGTACGGTTGGCTGGATTGGGAGAAGCTGTTTGCGACGCTTAGGCATTTCTCAATATTTAAATGATACCCATCACCAGTCCTTGATCCCAGTTCGAAAAATAGAAAGCCATAAAAGAGATCTAGAACAATATTTTCATCGTTTATTAACATCATCAACACGGGTCCCTTTTTTTACAGAGAGGTACTGAGATGGACCGAGATGTGCGCGTGTGTGTGTGTGTAATGTGTGAGTGCAAGTGTCTGGAGGGCGGAAGGGTGGGGAAGGGGGACTTGCAAGCTTGTGTATATTTATAATAGCCCCATTGAAAGTAGCGTTTTATTCAAGTCAATTGTGTGGGTTTGGCTCAGGCCAGCTCTCTTCACCTATCGGTGTGGCAAAAAACATGCACGGCATCCAACCCATGGAAATGAATTAATCAGCTTGACTTTCGGTGCGGTATATGTAATAGTCCCATGGAAAATAGCCTTAATTCCAGTCAATTGTTTTGTTTTTCAAATATTTTCTTCTAAACAATTTTTCTGCGATGTCCAAATCCTGAATTTTAAGGGCTGGTGGGGCACCTGAGGTCTATTTTGGCTAATGCAAGGCCTAGAGCGCCCATATTTGCTGTTGGACATCGTGTGCTATTGGGGATTTTAAATCAATAGTTCAAAAAGTATATTGTAATTGGTTGCTATGGAAATGGCAGCCATATTGGATTTTGTATACCTTTTTCAATCCCATTTTATTCCCTTTTATTTATAAACCGATTCACTTCTAATTTGGCATGCCAACAGTAAATGTGTAGATCTTAAATTTAGCTTTTTGAATTTTTGATATGCTTTAGATAAAGATTTTATTTTATGACACTTACAATTGGGATGTTGCAAAAAAAGGTGAAAAAAATGTAAAATTCATGCTTTCTGAGCCCATAAATCAAAAACTACTCCATTAATCAAAAATTTAACGAGCCAAAATTTAGAACTAGGTGTTTTTGATATCCTGTGAAAGTTACATTGAAATTGAACAAGAAACAGAGCAGAAAAATGGGATAATGTGTGAAAAAATAGAATTG